AGATGGTCATGCGTCTGGCCGGCACGCCCAACATCCCCAGCATCACGGAGAAACACGTCATCACGACCAACCTGGCTGACCACATCGTGCCCCTGCGCCTAGACCGCAGTCAAGAATGAGGGATTTTCTGAAACCTGAGCGTGGCGTTCTTGCGCTGGGATCACCTCCCCATGAAGAAGAACTGCCGTAGACTCCCGCCCCTAGGACATACACACGTTCAGCCTGCACGGCAATTCCCTCCCCAACTTTGGTATGAGATACGAATATGGCGGTTGCCGAAAATTTCGGATCACTTTGCGGGGTTCCCAATAAAAAGGATTTTTTGCATAATCATGGTATAGACCCCCCCCCAAATACTATAGTCCTTATTACAGGGACCCCCAAAATGGTACTCCTGATTTTGGGAAACCCCCATATAGCAGGGTGGGACCCCCCTGTTCATAGAACTCCCCAAAGCCCTGGCTAGCCCTAAATCCTGAATGACCTTCACTTCGAGATGGTCCCTCCAAAGAGGGCTAAGGAATCCCCAAGCAACCCCATTTTAGGAAGGTGTTCGTTATACTGGCGCTGCGACGGCATTGGTTTACTGTTTAGAGTTCTTGTCTATGGCGGTCTGCGAGCCCACATAGTCCCAAAATGGTCCTTGGGCCTCGACCTTCGGAACATACTGCCATGGAACAAATACTCGAATGCCCAGTAGTTGCAGATTGACAGAATTTTGGCAGCTTTTTCTAGCTGGGGTGTAAATCCTTCTTACAAAACCCCCCTTATTGGCCTTATGACTAACCTTATCCAGGTAGGTGTGGCTCTGTACTTGAGGCCCAGCAGTGTTTCGGCATCTGATACGTTTAAACCCTGAGTCCGAAACTCTACGCTCTGACCTATCAATCCCAAAGCATCCTAAGTACCTAAATCGTGTAAAATAAGGCTTCTATACTAGGAGTTAGTAATATGGTTTGGGTCAGGATCCCCTACATGAGCTATAGTCTAAACTCCCAGTATCCCTGGTCATAAGCCCCATTGTAGTACTTTATATAACCCCTACATTTATTCCGCCTTTAAGGAGTTTAGGCTACAGCTCATAGAGGTACTTAGGATACTTTGGAAATGTGATGAATTTCCGAGCAAGGCCCGTCGACAACCTCACCCACAAGACCTACCAGGGACTTGAGCCTGCTGCCAGGCTCTAAACAGGATGGGGAGGGCCCTGATTCAAGATGTAGGGTTTAGGGTCTAGGGTTTAGGGTTTAGGGAGATTAGGCTTTGCATGTGACTTCAGGATTTACGAGACTAGGTGAGACCAGGGATCTTTGGAGAAGCGCGCTGATGTCACGGAGCCCCATCGGGTGTAGAGTGTAACTGGGCCACATGAAACCCTGTGTAGGATATATGTGAGGGTTGTTGAGAAGCAAGACGTCTTGGAAAGTATTATATGGAGGTTTCCCAAAATTTGGGGGTACCTTGTTGGGGGTCCCCATGATAAGGACTAGAATACTCTGGGGCCTATATTGGAATCCCCTAATTTGGGAAACTACCATATACTATCACCCTAAGGGTCCAAGGACTGAAATAATAGAGTTTAGGGCCCAAATACCATTAATACTATACTGTTTGGGCCCTAAGCCCCTATTATTTGGGTCCTTGGACCTTCAGGGTTATACAGGAAGAAGTGCCTGGCTGCTGTCTCCGCTCGAGTCACCGTCGTAGCGCTAGTGGTGGTGGGGGTGGCGGTGGACTTCTGCCAGTTGGGTGGTTGTCAAAATTATGGCCCCTTTCTGGATCCGTATTATAATACGGCACCTAATATCTAGGGGATTCAACCAGGGACTATAATTTTGACAACCACCCAGTTTGTTGTCTGTAAGTTCTCCTAAGCTGCACGGAAGTCGTGGCCTGCACAGGACAAGACTACACGGGCGCCGCCAGCATCTGAATCAGATGCTTAAGGCCTCACAGGCCACGTGAACAATTGGTTATGGATGTGTAGGGGTATGGAGTATAGGACCTACGAGGTGTTAGAATAGAGAGTTTATAGGCCGCTGGAGGCCCAGTACAACAGTAATGGAGCGTAGCAGATGCCAGATGTTGAGTGTTTGGGGCGGTTTAGGGTTTAGGACACTGAAGAGAAGAGTTGCTCCAAAGGTTTAGCATTTAGGGTTCTACTTGTAATTTTTGGCACGAAGACTGCATGATTATGTGCTGTGTGCGCGTGTATTTGCATTATTGCACTTATACATATATGCATATAATATGTATATATATATGTATATATACACATACATATAAATACACATATATACAGGAATAATATAGGGGCTTAGGGGTCCAGGATTTAGGGTTAGACTGGAAAACACAATGGAAACTATTGTAATGCGTTATATAGGGACTACTATAAGAAGCCATTCCTTCATTCCTAGCTAGCAAAAGGCCAGTCTAAGGATCCATTCCCTCATGCCACTTCTTGGTAACGGAGAAACAAATATTGAGAAGAACATGCAAGATGCCTAGATTAAGACCCTAATGCACTCTGAATCTTTCAAGCCTTGCAAACTCCCGGCCACTCTGAAACAGGAAGCTGGCGCCATGCGTGTAACATGCGCCCGCTATGCTGAGTGAGTTTCTCGTACCTTGTCCATACGAGGTCAACTCGAAGCACATGGGGGGTACCCCTAAAACTTGACAAAGGAAACCCGCCCACAAGGGTCTTCAAGAGAAGCTTACATCGCTACACGGCAGAATGCGCCTTTGGACAGGCCATAATTTTTCAACGGCTAGGAGAGACTTATATAAGGCCGCTTGGCCAAGAGCTTCGCGTTGCACAGCCTCCAGAAAATTCGATGCCACTTGGCAAGCCCTTCAGTTCTCCATGCCTCGTGCTTGGTCGAAAGGTGCCTGCGGGGCTGTGAGCGACATGCTCAAACTTCACAGGTCACCCTAATTATCGCCTCTTTTAGATGCAAACTTTTCAGGCATCACAACGCAACGTGCTGCGGCAGAAACAAGGACCTTAAGGGTCCAAGCATCCAAATAGTGGGGGTTCAGGCTCCAAATTCTAGAAAGAATCTGATTGGTGGCTGGCACTAAGCCCTAAACCCTTAACCGTACCTGAAGTCCCAGCATTTAGGTACTTGCTCGAAGCCCGGGCGTGTCAGGGGTTCCTTCCGCACCACTGTCGATGGACAAAAACCTGCATGACCCCACATCCCTAAACTTCAAAGCCGGTTGAGGGTTCTAGGTTTCAGGGTTTAGGGATACGGTTGGATTTGGTCCACCAACCATAGCCATGGGGACTCTTTCCTGTGAGTTCTTTGTTAGCCCTCCCTATAATCGCCCTGAGCCTGAATTCTAAGCCTTCACTCAAACCCCAGAAGCCGCATCTGGGGATGGGTCTGACATGCACGAGACATTCGCTAGGAATCGGGGAGGCCCCCCTCCCACTACTTGGATGCCCATGAGACTCAGTACTGCTCATAACTGGGTTTTTCCCGTCCTTTTTTGGGGGTAACCCCTACAAGGTTATTCAGGGAATTATGATTAGGGTTATAAGCCCAGTTATATGTAGTTACTAAGTCCCATGAGCCTCCAAGTAGGGATTTGGGTGTCACTTGCTGGTTGTCGGTAGGGTTTTGTAGGGATATGGAAGAGCATCTATATACATGTTGTATACATGTTGGAATACTCTTGTGTGTGTGTGAGATATATATATATACACATATATACATATATATATATGCACATTTCCAGGGACATGTATGGGTTAAGGGTTTTGGGGTTTGGGTGCGGGATTTAAGGGCACACAAATGAAGAATCACGTGGACAAGAAATTGGAAATTGTCCATGAAAACTGTGATTATATTGTGGTTTGTAGGATGTGGAATGTACAAGTTTGAATGACCAGTGGTGGCGAACGGCATAGAAATTTAAATGGGAACGGCTTATAGGGATATATGAGCTATAGTCTCAATTCCTAGTATCCCCCTTAGTAACCCCCTATGGCGGTCTCCAGTAGAATCCCCTATATTTCCCCATTTAAAGAGTTTAGACTATTGCTCATATGGTAGTTTCCCTAAATAGGGGGGCCCCCATATAGAAACCAAAATAAGATAGTCCTTATTATGGGGACTCCCCAAAAGAGTACCTACAATTTTGGGAAACCCCCATATGGGGTCCGGGGCATAGGTGTTGGTTGTTAGGAGGAAATGGGGAGGCAAATGGACCATGGCATGGAAACTCTGGGGTTATTGGGATAGGGTTTAGGGTTTAGGGTTCACCTGAATCCCCAAAGTAGGCAAACCAATAGCCCAAACGAATCACAAACAGCCCAAACGGCCATTATTTTACATACTTCAGAGGTTCAAGTAGGGTTTAGTTTTACTGGCTGCGAGTAGGGAATGTCAGGAATGGAAAGCAAATTGCAAGCTACCACCTTGGAGCAGACAAGGGAAACCATTATTTATAATTATAAGGGCTACAGGGGGGGTTCCATTCCTATCTTTCCCAACTAGCAACCAGTAAGTTTAGTGCTCCTTGGGGTTCAGGGTGGGTGAAGTCGTTGCAGACTGCCCCAAGCCTCTTTTAGACTACCCGCGCGCAAGTTCTTGACAGAAGGCCCCCAAGTGCTTAATCCTAAACCCTAAACCCTGCTTGTAAGGAGTACTATTCGTTTGTTCTCTGGTTCAAAGTAGCGATATCAGCCCAGTTTCACACGCTTTCCAAAAGAGCTGATTTCTGGGTGCCATGGCGTCCGACAAGGCTCTGCTGTGCTGAGTGAGTGATCCATGATTGGCCATATTCCCTTCGCCGTCATAACGATTAGGACGGTTGTTTTTTGGAAGTCCCCAAACCTTGAAACTATGTCAGGTGTTGCTTATAGCAGGGAATGAGAGAATGGCTGCATACATGAGCCCAACCGGGGAACAAGGGTGGCGGAGAAGTAGGATTAAACAGGGGTTATAAGAGGACAATGGAAAAGAAAATGGCAACTACTTTTTTATCCTATTATAACCCCTACATAACCCCAATATTATAGTAGTTTCCATTAGGTTGTGGGGGGGTAGTCTTGCCAGCGATCTAGGCGGTTAACCTGAAGAGGATAGTGCAGCAGCTTGAACAATTCGGAAAGTTTACCTTACAACCCTTATACAAACAAAGTGGAATATACGGCTTCAAACCACAGTCTAGCCTAAACCCTAAATTGTATGATTCTGGTGAAGGTCTGCAGGGAAAGCTGAGGCTGTCCATTAGAGTAGTTGTAGGGTTCAGGGCAAGTCCGATGTCTGACAAGAGGCTTTTGGTAACCCCCGTCCCAAAAAATAGGACCCACACTATAATCATGTGAAAGTCACGAGGTCCCAACTTTGTGGGTTTCGGGCTACCAAAATTATCTTATGAATGTCTTGCTCTTTCTAAAGCCATAGGTAGCGACAAGCCTGGGTTCTAACTTGGGCACTGCTGCCACCCAGTTAAAATCTATAATTGGGGATTTAAAGTTAAGGCCCTTACACGAGCTATAGTCTAAACCCTAGTATACCCCTTCATAACCCCTATAATGCTTCCCTACATACTCCCCTATATATATAACCCTCCGTAAGGAATGACTATAGTACACATAAGTTCTGTAGATCTAGTTCGTCTCCAACTGCTACTGGGTGGGGGCAATACCCAGGTTCCAACCAAGCAGTATTCTATAGCCCCCTCGAAGCAGTAGAATTGCAGATGAAGTTGGTGTTTTGTAAGATGCCTACCTAGCCCCTAAACCCTAGATCCTCATATCAGCCCAGTGTCTATTGCATGTTCCACATTTTTGTTCTGTCTTCTAATTTTCTCCTGCTTCTCCATTAATCCCTGCGTATGATATGCCTCGCTAGAGGGCGCACCTGAATTTTCAAAAGCAGCTCAGCATAAAGTTCAACCGCCAAGTGTCAAGAGTTCCAGTACCAACAGATGTCGACGAATTTCCCCTGAACCTCAACAGCATGTAGAACAATAGTTTTGTTGTTTTTGGTACAGTTTCGGGATCATTTTTGACTTTGAGTTTGAGGTCAGTGTAAGTTCGTTGTAGCAGAGCCACACATGCCGCAAGCTTGTTCTCCTCCTCCTGCTCCTGCTCCTCAGCTGCTCCTTCTTGCGAGCACATGGTGGCACTCCACGATTTCTTTACGCAATGAACGCACCCCTTAACAACAGGTGGAATACGGGGGATGGAGGAAACTTTACACCACGTTGTATACCTCAGACTTATACTGGCATACTGGGGATTGAAGAAACTTTGCACCACGGTACATACCTCAGACTTGTATACTCTCTTAGGAATTACAATATGTTGGGGGTCATAAGTGGTTTAGACTTCCAACCCTAAACCTCCCTCCATCCACCGCACAAAGCCCACCTCTCCAAACCTTAAATCCCAAGCGCTCCTCCCTGAAGTGGAGACCTTGAGCCCGGCAAGTTCCTCAAAACTTGGAACTCTCCCGATAAACACTAAGCCTTCCATACAAATATTACATGCCCCCCGCCGGCCCTGATGTAGAACGTGGCTCCGAACATATGAGGTCTATTTTAATGTCAAGTGGCGGCGGTATTCAAATTGGTTTGAGCGGCCAAGACCCTAAACCTTTCATCCGAAGCTTGGTTGAAGACAATAGAATGCCTTGAAGGACCAAACTTAGATCACTTCTGGCTTTGTAGGGCATGAGCATCTAGCATGATTGCTTAATAACTTGTATTATGGAATATTCTGTTTTTGATCATTGGAATGTTTGCGTCTACAGTTCAACCGGGATAGTCACCGTCGAGTCATATGTATGTATAAGAGGTGAACCCCCTGCCCTGTAGAAGTGGTATAGTCTATAGTAGGAATAAGAGAACCCCAACATAATTACCGTTATCCCTCATTATTACAGTCACGATTTCTGGGTGCCGGGTCAACCCAACATATGTACAAAATGAGCTGGCCAAAATTCTAACCCCCCCTCCCTGTATACTACACCGCCAAGGTTTCCCCTTAGTCAGTTGTGTTTAGGCTTATTAACTGCTGGGGATTTCCAGGAAACCCTAGAGCCATGGGGGGTAGTTTAGGGTGGGGGTGGCTAGGAGAGACCGTGAGTTGCCTTAAACTTTTGGTCAATCCCTCCCTACACTAGGTACTCCAGAAGTACACTTTTTCCTTTTTTTGGGGTGGTGTTCTCCTCATTCAAATTGAATACAAAGAAAAAGGGTACTATTATTATTCTGGGGTTATTGGGGAAAACTAGTACAGTCATAGCCTCTACATATGCAGTTAATAGGGCCTAGATATACCTACAAAAGTCCATTGTGGTACCCATTACTGGGTTGAGGAGTGACCCAGCCTAAAACCTTAGAACCCAAACACTAAACCCGGAACCCCAAACCCTAAACCCTAGACCCTAAACCCTAGACCCTAAACCCGGAACCCTAAACCCGGAACCCTAAACCCGGAACCCTAAACCACCCCAAACCAATCCACGAGTTCAGCCTGGATCTGGAGTTGCATGCCCACCGCTTACAGCAGGTTCTGTCGATGGATGAGATTGCCAAGCACAACACCAAGGCTTTGCTTCGATTTAGGATTTAGGGATTTAGGGTTCAGGGTTTAGGATTTAGGGTGTAGGGATTTTGGGTTCAAGCTTTAGGGCTTGCCAGGTTTAGGGTTAGAAGCCTCACGATTTACTCATACTTATGCTCTAGGTTTCTTTGTGCAGTTAGACGGAATGCCATTGTCATTATTTTGACAGCTTTGTTCCTTGAAATAACCACTGCGCAATTCTGTTCCATTTCCATTTCCTTTTTCATTTCCATGTAGCCCTGTACTACATGGGCTGAGAGCTTGTAGTCATCCGCATACAGAATTTCCAAACTGGGGCTTGCACTTGCGGGTTTTGTCCCGAGTTTTGAGGCCCAGTGACATATATGTACATATAATTATATATGTATAAATGTATATGTGTGCAGACTGTAACAGCCTCTTTACACTCATACGCACGTACATGCGTACATGCATACGTACATTCATGCGTACATACACATACGTACATACATACATACATACAGACATACGTACATACATACATACATGCATGCATGCATGCATGCATGCATGCAAAGATACATACATACATACATACATACGTACATACATACACATAAACAAATATATACATATTTATATATACATACGTACGTACATACGTACATACGCGCATACGTACATACGCACATACGTACATACGCACATACGTACATACGTACATACTTGCGTACTTACTTACGTACATACGTACATACGTAAATGCGTACGTACATATACGTACATGCTGTCGTACTTACTTACGTACATACGTACATACGT